TGAATGTTTTATTGATATAATGCATAATTTTTTTTGCAATTGCATTACCTCGTTGGTCCCAGCACTGGGACCAAACGCCCCATAAGTCGAAATTTGTGCGGGGTTAGGTAAGCATACAGACACAAACATCCATGGCCTAACTAGGATTCGAACCTATATGTCTCTAATTTCCGAGCTAATTTCTATTGGTTTTGTGTTCCTGTCAATCTGGTTCGAATGGTTGTCAAAAATCTTGAAATGATGCATGATCAACCTATTCTTATATACAGGGTGGTTCTCAAACAACAATTATGATATCAAGTAATAAAAAAAATCTTGTATTGACGAGCAAGAATATTTAGAAGCAGGAAACTGATTGAGAAGTTCTTCTTCTTCTTCTTCTTCTTCGAAGCACTGGTGGGCGGGTGAACCCCCTGCACGTGGGCCTCCTTATTCGGGCCCATGTGGGCGCATTTTACGACATTCAGCTGGGTATGCCGACTGCCTTGGAGAAGTTCAGCAGCTTCCTCAGCTGAATCTCTTTTACGTCCTCTGGCCTCAAAATTATGTTGCCAAGGACAGCCCTCCTCTGATGCGTCAGTGCTGGACACTCAGTGAGGACATGTGATGACGTTTCGTCATCTTCCAGGCACCATCTGCAAAGGGGGTCATCCTAGGTGCCTATTGAGGTGGTTGTGCCCCGTTAGGAGCCCCAGATTTGAAGTTTTCTGGCGATCAAAGCGTGTAGGAGAGGTTGTCATCACCATGTCAAGTTGCTACAGAAACTATTGCTAGATCAAACCACTGGAATTGTTAGAAAAACCGGATTTTCAGAGCGTCGTTCTCACTTTGTGATAGATTTTCAAGAGATAATTTCAAGGCAAATGAGATGAACTGAAGAAATATACAGGATGTCGTCTAAATTGAAAAAGTTGCTGCCGAGACATATATACCATGCAACTGACAGAATTCATCATAATTGCAGTAGATTATTGAGTATCAGGATGTGATTTCATTTGCGGTGAACGTCTTCACAAATGACTCATATTGAATATTTGTCGAAATTCAAAAGAATGGCAGACGTGAGTCACATTAGATATGTAATGTCCTGACTCAAGAAAAACGTGAATTTTTTATATTGAATTTCATCACAGTCACAATGTTCCAGTTCCATGACTTTTCATCAATAACACCCAGTTCAAATCACATCACTCTCACGTTTAATTGAATTTAACATTGAAGTGAACATGAAAAGTATGAAAATTCAATAACACATGAATTCTTAACAAGCAGTTCCACCACCCTGTATGTGAGAATAGGTTGATCATGCATCATTTCAAGATTTTTGACCACCGTTCGAACGAGATTGACAGGAACACAGAGCCAATAGAAATTAGAGCATCAAATTATGCATTATCTCAATAAAACATTCATATTTCAGTAACGTGTATGACGATTCCAAAAATATTTATACAGTATCGAGAAAACATATGAAGCAATATGTTTTGACACAAAAAAAATAGAAAAATTTTTGTTTCAAACGGGTGGCGTTTGAAATTTTTGAAAAAATGCACAGCTTTGATTATCATCCTGTAGATTCTCATCCGGTAAAGATGAAATAGTCATATTCATAGTTTCGATAGTCAATAAAACGAGCTTTCCGAAACTGAAAAATAATTGAAAATCGGTTGAGGAAATCGAATATTATGATGAATCAAATTTGATCAAAAAAATGCGATTTTATATGTTTCATGTTTTGTTTCAAACGGGTGGCGTTTGAAATTTTTGAAAAAATGCACAGCTTTGATTATCATCCTGTAGATTCTCATCCGGAAAAGATAAAATAGTCATATTCATAGTTTCGATAGTCAATAAAACGAGCTTTCCGAAACTGAAAAATAATTGAAAATCGGTTGAGGAAATCGAATGTTATGATGAATCAAATTTGATCGAAAAAATGCGATTTTATGTTTCATGTGTTGAGCAGTTTAGATGTGAACAAGTCGGATGCATTTATATTTTGTTTTCTATTCTGCAAGTATATCGCAAATTCGTATCGAACTGGTACGCAAAATTTATTTTTACAAGGTTGATATCTACTTTTACGCGCAATGTTCTTTAGGAATATCTGCTAATATTCCATATCACCAGCAATACCAGTCAGACGAACTCGACGACAACGTCAAAATATGTCGAAGATCTCATTACCGAAACTCGTTTGTTTGTATCAGAGTCCCTAGGGCCTCTATGATGCTCTTGCCACATAAATCTAAACAGTCAAAAACACTAACAGTTGTCATTTCTGTGTCCGAACTCTTATCTTACTAATGACATCTAGGGTCTTTTGATGCAAACTGACGTATTTGTCATCTAACAGGGTACGGACAGATCATAGCTACTTTCTCTTTTAATCATCTAGTGACTTTGGTTTCGTGTATCGGCGTCCCTGAAATGACATTGCTGTCACGTTACATGCATAGGCGTCAAAAGAGATCTTACAAAATTTCAATTGAATACTGTATCTAATACGACATTATTCAATTCTGTTTTGAATTTGTCAGCTTTCCATCAAATGCGAATGAACTTAGAACATGGAAAGTGAAATGACAGAATGGGGAAAATTGGTAAATACATCAGCAAAATATTCGAGGTAAAACAAATCACATATTATACTTTCCCATTGTGCCTATAATTATCCACTCCACAAGTTTTTTAATGCATTTTAGTAGAAACAGTTTTGATTAAAACGGAGGATTAAAAGAAGAGGCATAAGCCCTACCATTTGAAATATTATACCTACATTCAGGAAATATTATTAGGTGTTCGTGAAAAACTGCAAAAATGATTCCCAACATGAATATATATACAGCACACATGACATATGAGCACATTAGTTTGAATACATACATACATACAATTTTTCACAATTTCTCAACCATACGGCTTAGTCTGAAATCGAAATTCATTTATTGATAGATACTGCCTAAGAACAGTCTTATTTGGTGAAACGTATAAAATTTTTAGAAAAATTTGCTCACTGCCTCACAAAAATTATGCTGGAGATGAAAAATCAAAAACTCGAAAATAATCTCATCATTTGGATATAATATGTAGAGTTGAATGAGAAATTACATGTGGAAATTACGTATGATACGCCAATGTCCTCAATATAACCTAAAAAACAACAAATGTCAGAAATCTAGTGTTTATCCCCAAAATGAATAGAGATGGAACCATATAACTGTTTCACAAACACTTTAGAGCGAGAGGAGACGAGGATCGGTCGGTACCCTGTTAAGATGAAAAATACGTCAATTTACATCAAGGGACCCTAATGACATCCAGCGCCTCTAGTCTATAGAACGGCAAAGCTTCTTTGTCAAGGGTAGCATTCTCAAGAATTCATGTAATCTCCAATAGTTGAATAAAATCCATCACCTACATTCTCTCCCTATCTTCCTAGGTACGCAATATGTTCCTCGAACATTATAGGGATTTCCTCCGGAGTTCCAAGAGATAAAAAAATCTTTCTGATTCGTCTGCGTCATACCGAAAGTCATGTTCGTTTGAATTCCTGCCATCTTAGTCGCCTAAGTTGAAGTGTGACGTCACGAGCAAGCACCTAATTGGCGGCCATGAAACTGTGTTCCATGACACCGCGATCGATCGATGCCATATCGATCGGAGTAGGCTTTGCGAGCAATTAGCGAGCAAGAAAAATCCGAATGTATAGCTCGACGGAGCCGCGTCTCGTCTAGTAAAAGCCATCGTAACCTCTAATTTTCCTAATTACCACGTGATTATGTCAGACAGGCCTACGGGATTCGTCTGACACATTTGAAAGGTAAAATGTCGAGGCGGCGATTATGTCTGCCTCGTTCGGAAATTATTATCGTGTTATGAGCGTATTTTTCTGCGAAATGGTAAAAATGTTGGTTTTGATATGATGATGGTTCATTAGGAGCCGTTATTACATTTTTTAGTGGAATTGCGTACTGGGTGGCTTTGAATCTTAATTATAGTGTGCTATCGACTGATGAGTGACAGATTTGAAATTATAGAGAACGGCAAGAAAAATAGAACGATTACTGAGTACGAAACACAGGGTTAAATAATCTCTGAGTCAAGTGTCGTCGCAAGTCACAAATTATGGTTGAGTTGTTTGAAATTTGAAAATTGTACGCGAGTGTTATCATTTTGAAATATCCTTTTTGTAATATTGACTAGTGGACAATGGGCCTGAAATTATTTCATTATTTTGAAGTACTTACCCAAACTGTTCACTGTCGCAAACCGTTTTGAAATTCACGACTTCTCATAACAGAAAACGCGGGACAGCGTGTGACGTCATAAACTGCGGTAAATCCATCGCAATTATTATATACGATACGACTTATGACTTATATGTACTGAGTATATTTCAGTACACCCTTACTGTGGAAGTACATTCTCATTTCTATGTACAATGTGGACTAATAGTGCTTATCGGTATGTCACTTCATCGGGAGATAGTGTTTTTGAGAGGTGATTATTTTGATTATTGAAAAAAATTAAGTTCAAACTGTATCAAATACTTGTATTACAGGAATGGAATGAAATAGATATCTATTTGGCGTAACTTCGACTTGTGTGTTCAACCCCATTGAATGGAATGCACATTTTCATCTCCCGACCCTGTAATTTGTTGATATCAAAAATATTGACCACAGATTAAAAAAATCGTAGAAAATTATTCCAGAAAAGTTTTTGAATGACCAAAATATGTTAGAATTAAGAGGATAAAGGGGGGTGGACACATTTAAGTGGGATACCCTGTCTGTACCTGCCCATAAACTGGAAAATTCAATTCTATATTTAAAAAAAAACGTGAATAATCTGATGTTCGTCAGTTCTCAGATCTGACATTTCATGTCACTTGTCACACGCTGAAGAAAATTATGAAAGCAATTGAAATTACACAGAACTATTTATACGATGATATAGATAAATCGAGTGAATTGAAAAAATTTCGAATCACTTACTTTCACAGCTGTTTTCGAGATATGTCCCAATCCTATCCCCATTGTCGATGAGTGGCCTATCGGCGTTAAGATATGTACTGGGACCATCCGGAAGAGTTTTGTGATCCAAGTGGAACAATTGACAGTTGTATTGGGAGCCTTGTGGCGGACCTCTGTGAAAAAAACAAACATTTTTATGAATGAATAGACAACCTGCGAGTTTCAATATATAACGAATAAACAATATGTATATGTCGCTATGGGAAATGATCTGATGGATTGAGGTCTGGGGATCTCACTGGTCATACAAAATTCAGAAGATACTCGAAAATTCCCTACCTGTATAAAAATGATCGGCAAAGGAACTCGTTTTCAATTTCACAAGCTAACCGACAGGCTGCTTCACCAGTCACTTGTAGTTCCTTGTCGGTGTAGTAATGAATGCTTGCGTACTGAGCAACTTTGTCGTCTGCCACTCCAATCCTTGGCACTTGGTATATACGATTACCTGGAAGAAACAGTCAACGTATTCATCGACACAAAACACATCTCTGTCAATGTGAGTGATGGTATATGCGCAGTTTACTCACGTCCAACCTTTCTGAGCTTCTAGAATGTATCGTTCAAAATGTCGTTGATAACGATATCGTAGTCTAACCATAAGTTACTGAATAGATCCCTAAGCTTCTGGAATTTATCGTTCAAAATATCGTTGGTCAATGTATCGTTAAGGACACGATATCACATTCTATCGATAAGTTACTGAATAGACCCCTAGCTTCTAGAATTTATCGTTCAAAATGTCGTTATTCAATGTATCGTTAAGGTATCGATATCGTATTCTAACGATAAGTTACTGAATAGACTCCTGAACTTCTGAAATTTATCGTTCACATTGTCGTTGGTCAATGTATCTTTAAGGTAACGATATCGTATTCCAACGATAAGTTACTGAATAGACTCCTATAAGCTTCTATAATTTATCGCTCAAAATGTCGTTGATAACGATATCGTATTCTACCGATAAGTTACTGAATACTTCTAAGCTTCTAGAATTCATCGTTCAAAATTTTGTTGATAACGATATCGTAGTCTAACCATAAGTTACTGAATAGATTCCTGAGCTTCTGGAATTTATCGTTCAAAATGTCGTTGGTCAATGTATCTTTAAGACACGATATCACATTCTATCGATAAGTTACTGAATAGACCCCTAAGCTTCTAGAATTTATGGTTCAAAATGTCGTTATTCAATGTATCGTTAAGGTAACGATATCGTATTCTAACGATAAGTTACAGAATATCCCCTAAGCCTCTAGAATTTATCGTTCATAATGTCCTTGGTCAATGTATCGTTAAGGTAACGATATCATATTCTAACGATAAGTTACTGAATAGACCCCTGCTACAAGAATTTGTCGTTCGAAATGTCGTTGGTCAATGTATCGTTGAGGTAACTATATCGTATTCTGACGATAAGTTACTGAATAGACCCCTAAGCTTCTAGAATTCATTGTTCAAAATGTTGTTGGTCGATGTATCGTTGAGGTAACGATATCGTATACCAACGATAAGTTACAGAATATCCGCTAAGCCTCTAGAATTTATCGTTCATAATGTCGTTGGTCAATGTATCGTTAAGGTAACGATATCATATTCTAACGATAAGTTACTGAATAGACCCCTGCTACTAGAACTTATCGTTCGAAATGTCGTTGGTCAATGTATCGTTAAGGTAACTATATCGTATTCTGACGATAAGTTACTGAATAGACCCCTAGGCTTCTAGAATTCATTGTTCAAAATGTTGTTGGTCAATGTATCGTTGAGGTAACGATATCGTATACTAACGATAAGTTACAGAATATCCCCTAAGCCTCTAGAATTTATCGTACATTATGTCGTTGGTCAATGTATCGTTAAGGTAACGATATCATATTCTAACGATAAGTTACTGAATAGACCCCTGCTACTAGAATTTATCGTTCGAAATGTCGTTGGTCAATGTATCGTTAAGGTAACTATATCGTATTCTGACGATAAGTTACTGAATAGACCCCTAAGCATCTAGAATTCATTGTTCAAAATGTTGTTGGTCAATGTATCGTTGAGGTAACGATATCGTATACTAACGATAAGTTACAGAATATCCCCTAAGCCTCTAGAATTTATCGTACATAATGTCGTTGGTCAATGTATCGTTACGGTAACGATATCATATTCTAACGATAAGTTACTGAAAAGACCCCTGCTACTAGAACTTATCGTTCGAAATGTCGTTGGTCAATGTATCGTTAAGGTAACTATATCGTATTCTGACGATAAGTTACTGAATAGACCCCTATAAGCTTCTAGAATTTACCGTTCAAAATGTCGTTGGTCAATGTATCGTTGAGGAAACGATATCGCATTCTATCGATAAGTTACTGAATACACCCCTTTAAGCTTCTAGAATTTATCGTTCAAAATGTCGTTGGTCAATGTATCGTTAAGGTAACGATATCGTATTCTATAACGATATATTTCTGAATATACCCCGAATATTCCATTGGCTCGGACAGATGAGTGTAAATTGCGCTAACCGCTATTCGTCTTACCTTTGCAGGCTTGATTGCCCTTGAGACACAAGTTCTCGAAATAGTCGACACCCTGAGCGTCCACGAACTGGACGAATTGACCGGCTGTTCTGCGGTCGGTGTCACTCAACTGACATTGCAACGTGACGTAATTGTACTCGACCGATCGGCAAGTGAAGCGGTGCTGAAACGATATATCCATGTTTAGAAAGAACAAAGGAGCCAGATTCGCAAAGCAGGAACTGGAAGTGAAAAACTCTGCAGGTGGTTAGGCAGCACTAGGCTTCAATTGAAGCAAAATTTGAAATTTAGGAGAAATACACTTGCATGGACATGTTGTGGTCATGACTGGGTTTTTCAATTCCAGGTACACATTTATACACTCACCAGAAAACGGCCAGAACCCTATTACATTTTCAATTCTTGTTTCATCTCGGAGAAATTTTGACCAGATCGTAGAATGATTTTCAGTTGCCAAAGGAAGCTGATGGCTTGATCATTATACAGAGAAAACAAGAGTTAACTACTCTTTCACTCTCAATTTCTTAAAGCCCTGTGGCAGAAGTGAGAGTTAGTAAACTTAGCTTCATTAGTTTATTATGTTTTGAATCCAAGTCTGATCTTTTATTGACACAATAATGGTTTTTGGTTCACATCAATTTCTTCTTTTTGAAAAAAGATACATATTTAGTGTTTCAAAGAAAGTTTGGAATTTTTATATTTTTATTGACAATAATTCAAAATATACATGAACTTATTGATTAACAACTTCTATAAAGTATTATCGCTTATTACTGCCCTGTTTTTTCAACGCTCTTTGGCAAAACACCTTAATTTAGAAAAATAACAATAATAGTAGTTTTGAAAACTAAAGAAACACCCTTTCATAGATAGTCGAAAATAAAATGATGAAAGTGTTTTTCTAAATACATAACATAGAAAATATTAACAATTCCATAATCAGCATTTTCTATTTTGCGTATTCATCACCACACTTTTATCATTTTATTTTCTAATTTTCATTAGTTTGGCTATCTGAGAGCGTGTCTTTATCAAGAGAAGGTACAAGTGTATTGAGAAAGTATGGAATAATAAATTTTTTTGCCTGTATTATGATCATGCCATCGCAATAAGCCATCAGCTTTTCTTGAGAATTGAAATTTAAGTAAACACCTATGACTTGGACGAAATTTCACCAGGATCGGACGAAAAAATAAAAAAGTTATATTGTGCGATCAATTTGGCGATATTTTTTCCTGGCCGTTTTTTTTGCCGGTGATCTTTTTATCGCTTGGAGTACACGAAAGGAAATCCCTACCTCGTTCAAGCAGGCTGCCAAACACGCCTCTTTGGTCGAGGTGTAGATCAGAGCATTGTCCAACCCTCTGATCATCTTGTTGGGTACCCGTTCGAAGGACCAAGGTCTCAGACAGACGTTCTCCGATCTGAGCTGCAGCTTCGACATGTAGTACATGTTGGCGGCCCTTTGAGGGGTGGCAGAGGGGTTGCCAGATGAGGTTTCGTTCTGTAAAACATGTAAATGCATATTCGAATATCCTAGATACACGTTGGGTTTATCCCCATACAGAATAGTTTTGTTTCAAAAATATTAAACAATTATTCAGGGATCAGACATAATTGAGATAATAATGTACTAGATACGTTTTTTTGTGTTCTGGTTCCCACGAAAAGGGATATCCTGTAATGTTCAGAGAACATCGTGAGAACCAAGGGAAATAAGGTAGGAATTGATGTTCTTCTTAAATTCCGGGAGGTTATATGCCTCGGGAAACACCTCCTTTGGCAATGTGTTCCAGAGCCTCGCTGTTCGTTGGATGAACGAGACTTTGTAAAGAGATGTTCTGCAGGTCTCCAAAGTGATCACGAAGAGGTGCGAAGCCTCAACTCGACGGGTTAATCTCGCGGGGACTGCCAAGGGAGGAACAATTGTTGATATTCCAGAAGAGCATCGTCCATGAAAATATCTATAAAATAGAGCAAGATCGCCAACTTTTCTACGGTGTTCCAGAGAAGTGAGTGAGTTTGTGAGCGAGGCATCACCCACGAAACGAATTGCCCTTTTTTGAACAGAATCCAACAGTTTCAGGGTATGTTTGGATGCTGCACTCCAAATATGGAAACAGTATTCCAGGACAAGACAGTGAGATCGGCTTTCCTAGAGAAAAAACATGTTTGTGTTTTGTTTGCATTGAAATCTACCAAGATATTGGATCCCCATTCGAGAATTGTTGCCAAGTTCATATTTATGTTGTCAACATTTCTTCCTCGGTCGTTTTTGATTTGCCGGGCTGGTATTGGAGCCTTGGAAGAGAAAGCGGTATGGAGGGTACTATCATCCGCGTGTGTACTGGACATGAAGTTGCTTCCAACAAATCGTTGATATGAAGTAGAGATAGTGTTTGTGCTAGAATTGATCCTTGCGGAACACCAGAACACTAGCAGAGAACATAGCTGGGGAGGCAAGCTATAATATGGAAGCTTGGCGAGGAGCCCGTGGTGCCAGACTCGAACGTTGGGTTTATTCCCATACAGCACATTGCTGTTTCAGAAATATCGCAGAATTATAGATCAGTTTTATTTCAAAAATATTGCAGAAACATGGATCAGATAGATTTGAAATATTTTTGTTTCGTTGCAAAACGTTGATGGAATATGCCGCGAATATTGTAGAAATATCAAAAGTCCAACTTAAAATCTGACACTGAAAGTTGCAGAAATACTACTACTAGCACAACATCTCACACATTATTCGAAAAACGCTCATTTTGCTGTTGTCGAAAGTTCTGCTGCTCTCAAAGCCTGGTGGATAACTTCACCAGGAATGAATTCGGTCGTATAACAGTGGCGTACGGTTTGAATATCGCCTGAACTTTTTTAAATCTACAGAAATGCATAAAAGTACAGAATATCCAAAAATATCTTTATTTCATATTTTGTATAAGGAAGGGCAGAAATTTCCAAATCATTTTGAGATATTGACTTGATTAGGGAAAGTTGATTTGTAGAAGGATGAAAAAATTCTTGGGGAATACGGGCGCTCCTAAACTTTTTCGCTTATGTAACACTCTTTTTGACCACTTAGTATGACATAACTGGAAAACTTCGAAAAATTTGGGACAATGAATCCTAAACAAAAAGGACGCATTTTCTGAACAATGTATTCCGATTGAAAATCGGTTCATTCGCAAAAAAATATATCGCATTTTAAAAAACGTCGAAAATTCTAGTGGTCCACTCAATTCTTTGCGTACTTTACTTTAAAATTCAGCCTTCCATTAGGATTCCAAAAATTCAATAATATATAGGGTGTTCCATTTGAAGAAAATATCGCAGTTGTCATAACTCAAACGTGAGTCACCCTGTATATTAAATTTTCCTTCATAAATGTGGCAGATTGAAAATAGAAATTGACCTATTTCAGGACATTCCTCTGAAATGGATAGTTGGGCTGAAAATTAATCAATTTATGATAATGCAATTTTACAGAAATAATATGCGATATTCATGCAATCCTTATTTGAGGTATTATAGAGAAATATTGAAGTGATTTGATAAACTTGATAACCATTCATTGATTATCACATACCTACCTGGAATAATATATACTTTAATTCAGCTACCATAGTTTCAGTAGTAATACCACAAATGATCGGTTATAACTGCACAAGTGCATAAATATTACCGATAATTTCGCAAGAAAGCGTGTAATCTGAAAATTGCAAGTTTTATTTTCATATTTTGGCGAAAGAACCTGAGTCTGATAGAGGATGGCTCTTTTACAAAATATGAAAATGACCGGATGAAATGTGTATAAGATAACACGCCTGCATGCAAAGTTATCTGGTAATTTTCATGCACGAATGTAATTCATTGGAATATTTCACGAATTAAAAAAATCTCGTAGATATCTTGTTCTTTTTTCTGAGAAATATCTTGATACTGACAAAGACTATATAAATACAATGTGCAATAAGACAACTGTCATTTTATCTGTCAGTCTGTCGCTCGAATTGTTTACTTGCGTCTATAGCGGCAAGGTTTCACTATGTGCAATGCAAATACCGCTGAAATTTTCGATAACTGAGGGAAATATTCGCGATGTGTCTGTCGATTCATTTCTGAACAAAACTGAATTGATCAGGAAAACATCACATAGTAGAAGATCCGAACCTAAGTCGACCTTCACCGAGCTGATAATAGAACGAAATATATTTTATCATGAATTTAGTATATTAGAAAACATATTAAAAATGGGTTGCCTAAAAAAATCCTGGGCAGACTATTTTTAATTATTTTTCGAAAAATTATTTTTAATTAAATGTTGCAACATCAGGATAATAAAAAAATTGTGTCCTGACTGAAAGTATGAAACGTATAGAATGTGCAGCCGTTGGGGTGTCTACTATTTACCTGGGCGAACTACTGGGTTGTCAGGTAAACACAGGTATATCGATGCCAGTTACTTTCACTGGATTGGATAATTTAAAAAAATGTATATCATCATAAGCGCTGTTTAATTGCGAACACGTTGATATAGGGTTGTCTGCGAAAATTCCGGTCCGATTAGGGGTTTTTAATTTCAACGCGCGTGGAAGTGTGTGACAGAGAGATCCGAGGTAAGTATACTGTGTGATAATAAAGGACCCAACATCGCAGTCGCTTGTGATGGGACCCTGAATAGTAGAAAGTGTGCGAAGTCAAATCCTGAAAACTATGGTTGGCATTTTGATGATTTCTTAAAACCAACAGGTTTTATCGGAGATCAAACTCCTTTGAAAATCCAGGACATTGTCGAAATGGAAGCAAATGAGGAAGAATCTAATGAATCAGACGAATTCGAGAGTCAAAATGATACTTCTGATGAATCAGATATTGAATAGAAAATATTTATTAGAATTTATTTTTCATTAATATTATTTTTGTATTTATACTGTTTTTTAATAAAATTTCAAATCGTAATACAAGATGTCTAGTCTATCTTTTTTGTTATTTCTTAATTTAAATTTGTGGCGGTCCACTTTGTTTCTATTTCCAGAAAGAGCAAAAAAATTTCAAAGTAAGTATTTGATATTTTTATTGTCTATTATAGATTATAGATATATCATTATGGTTATAACGCAATATACTGATATTATATTGTTTTTATATATTAGTATCATATTAAATATATTTAATTATTATGTAATTAATTAATTATTTTTTTTTGCTACTGAAATATCAGTTGCTCCAAAATAACACGCACTGTTTACTATATGAAGGGTAGTAGAGGTACCTCTACCCTCCATAGTTTACACACCGAGCATGCGCACTTTCTACTATTCAGGGTCCCATCACAAGCGACTGCGATGTTGGGTCCTTTATTATCACACAGTATACTTACCTCGGATCTCTCTGTCACACACTTCCACGCGCGTTGAAATTAAAAACCCCTAATCGGACCGGAATTTTCGCAGACAACCCTATATCAACGTGTTCGCAATTAAACAGCGCTTATGATGATATACATTTTTTTAAATTATCCAATCCAGTGAAAGTAACTGGCATCGATATACCTGTGTTTACCTGACAACCCAGTAGTTCGCCCAGGTAAATAGTAGACACCCCAACGGCTGCACATTCTATACGTTTCATACTTTCAGTCAGGACACAATTTTTTTATTATCCTGATGTTGCAACATTTAATTAAAAATAATTTTTCGAAAAATAATTAAAAATAGTCTGCCCAGGATTTTTTTAGGCAACCCATTTTTAATATGTTTTCTAATATACTAAATTCATGATAAAATATATTTCGTTCTATTATCAGCTCGGTGAAGGTCGACTTAGGTTCGGATCTTAGACTAACAAGTCTGCATTATGAATGAGAATGGTATAAATAATTTTGCAGCATACGACATTTCTGAAAGATGACGATTGCAACTGCAACATTGTTATACTGTGATGATATTTGCTAAATATTTCGAGCTATGTGGCTCGGTTCAAGATTATACCGGGTGACCAGTTATATTCTGACCCATGTCAACTGCTCATATCTCCGAAGCTATTCAAATTATCGTTGTGCGGTTTGGACTTCTCTATTTTGATATTCTTCAAGTTTTTTGACTGGTTCACCTTCTCACCTGAACTTCCGGTTCTACCGGAAACAAACAAGCCATTATTCAGGTATAGGGCAACTTTGATAACATTGCATAATCTCATTAAACCATTCCACAGGCAGTAGTTGTTTCAAAGAGTTATAACTCTAATAGTTTTCTAGGAGAACATACTTGTAATACATTGTTAGATAGAGAAAAGACCAGTCTTTCTGAATGTGCAAAAATATACAGGGTGATTCAATGAAATAAAAAAGTTGCCCTATACCTGGATTATCGCTTGTTGGTTTCCGGTAGAACCGAAAGTTCAAGTGAGAAGATGAACACGTCAATAAAGAAATGAAGAACATCAAAATAGACTAGTCTAAACCGCACAACGATTACTTAAATGGTTTCAGAGATATGAGCATTTGAAATGGGTCAGAATATAACTGGTCACCCGGTATCAAAGAGAATATACATTGGTCGTACAGTGTGCTGAAATTTTGAATAATGATGATGAAAGCAAAGATCCATCGTTTGTAGTGTATATCAAAAATTTTCGATGTTGTAAACGTTACCTGCAGCTGACATAGGGTCTCTTGTAGAGGTATCAGAGGGTTGAGAACGAAGCTGAAAGCTGCAGCTTGACAGTCTGGTTCTTCTCGACACCAGCCTTGGCATTCGTATAGGCTGAGATTTTTTACAGTGTAGTAAGTGTTGCCTCTGTAGTCGTAATCTGTGAGTTTCTCGAAGGCTATCCTTGCTGAAAAAATGAATACAGGGTGAGTCAGTTTTTTGTAGCTGGACTTCAACAGCTTGGAGGACGCATTTTTTCAAGATGAAATTTTTTTTTTGATATACAGGGTGACATAGAAAAAAATACATTGCATAGTGCCACACAATAGAGGATACTAAAATAAGAAAAAAATTCCCATGAACATGGGTCCGCAAGGCCTTCGGTTAAAAGATACGGGGCGTTGAATTCGATTTTTTTTGGGTTTTCTTTGAATATCTTTAGCCAGGGCCACAAGAAATAGATAAAATGTGGTATACAGGGGTTTTTTATCATGCTAAATTCAAATGTGATCTTAGTTTTGTGATGACTGATAGAGGGCGCTACATACAGGGTTCCATCCCTATTGAATAGGTCGTAACTTTTTTGCTATACACTGTATGTCATTTTCGACGGAAGAAATTTGTTATCCCTTCTTTTATACTTACGAAAGGTATACTTTGTCCAAGTCGCTAGAAGCAATGTATCAGTACAAATGCATCTAAAAGCCGACAATGCACGCAAATTATTCAAAAAGCGCAAAAGTAACTTTTGCAAAAACAATGATAATGTAACAAAAACTATAAGAACGGCCTACTGCAATCTAAAACTAATTTATAACATTTCAAGAATTCTTGACTTAAAGACGAAACAGGTCCTATGCGATACGCTAGTCCTGAGCCATTTCAATTTTGCTGACATAGTGTATTATTCGTGCCTTACTAATCATGATAAAAACAGAATTCAAGTTGTACAGAATGCTTGTGCCCGACTGATTTACGGTGTAAGGAAACGAAATTCCATTTCTCATAAAATAAAAGAATCCAGATGGTTGACGATGAAACAAAGATGGATTTTACATTTGTGTTGTTTTACTCATAATTTAATTCAATATCAATCCCCAGTATATTTATATGAAAAACTTGAGTTCAGGCAAGATGTTCACACAATCAACACCAGATATAGGTATCACCTTAACCGTCCTAAGCACCATACGTCACTATACCAACGATCATTCTCATACAATGCATCCAAAATTTATAACGCCATCCCTGACTCCCTGAAAATGATGAATAAATGCAAATTCAGAACTACACTAAAAAAAATGTTGTTTGAGGGTAGGTTTGATATAGTATAATTTCCAATGTATATAGGTACCAAATGGAGGTTTGAACATGTTATCCATAAAACTGATCGCCTCTAGTTCCCTACAATATCATCATCGATATGATCATATTATATGTATTCCAATTAAACTCTTTGTTGCCACTTTTATTTCCATTTTATTATCTTCTTCTTTCTCTCTTTTTATCTAGTTGAACCAAGTCAATATATTTGTTAGAAATATGTATCTTTATAACCTATGTAGTCAATTCCACGAACTTAGAACTTCAGTATTCACTTGATAATTATGAATAAATAGCATTCAATTTCTGTATCTCAAATATAATTTTGTATATTCGCTAGTACGAACTCATTATCAATTCATTTTCAATAAATCAGGATTATTTATGTAGAACTTAGGAACATACCATGATGTTATGGGTTGAATGGAAGAGCAGTCACTATTATCTTCGGATAGGAGTGACTGAATTCCGCCCTTACATATTGTCTGATAAATTGTGTACCATCGAGGTTTTGATTATTTTGTAATTTGGGCAATATGAATAAAGTGTCCTCTATTGTGTGGCATTATGCAATGTACTTTTCTCTATGTCACCCTGTATATGCGTGGGAGCTTCGTTTCCGATATTCATGGTTTCAAAGAACGCTCAATAGCCTCAAATATTGCGTTTCCACAGTGTACCAGATGTATCAAATCTCAATTCCTAATTTTGATAAACCTTAAAAACACAAAAAAATCTCAAACTATAAAATTTCTTATACAATTTTATATATTGAACAACGTTGTAACCATCCTCACCAAAGATGTAAGTACAAGGCATGACCCTGGTGGTTTTCTATTGTATTTACACTCTTTATAATCATTGTAGTGTTCCTGATGATGGAAATAAACATTTCCGAAAGCTTGGATAAACTTCAAAGAGTATTTCTTTTACACTGCTGCTACCACCAATATACACTGGTTTCATAAATATATATATATATAGCTATCATGTTATAATTTTTATAAAAAAATTATATGGTGTAAAAGTTCTGCGGAAACAGTTTTCGATCGAAATAATTTTCCAAACGAATCGACAGTGAGGCGTTTGAAATTTGAGAGTAAATTCACGCTGATGGACTCAAATTTTGTGATCAAACGTCTCACTGTCGATTCATTCCTTCTACTTCTCGTACTTCTCCATATTCCTGAATGGTCTCTACGTGACAACTTAAAAAAAAAATCACCGTATAACTGGTATCAACAAAATGGCGACAAATATAAATCCGGCGCCCTTATTTGGGACACCCTTTATCTGTTGAAACCCCCCCATAATATTGGGATACAATATTTAGAATGCCTAGGTATATCCGTTCGCCTCCTTTTAGAAAAAAATTACCCTGAATTCCGGATTTGCTTTGTTTTTAGATTACATGACCTTGATTTGAAAAAATGGCGAATGCAACCTACAAAACCTCCATAAAATGCAATAATCGATAATCAATTAATTTCCACGGTTCCGCTAGCCGACATCCTTTGAAACCATTAATTGATTTTTCGCAAGTTTGCAGTTAATTACTTTATGGCTGTAGCAAACTGCTGATATAAATTAAGTGGAAACATTCTTCTCCTCAATAAATACCGCCATTGTCTGCAAAAGAACTCAAGAAATAATCTCAAATAATGAGGCAATGAGGTGCACGTTAAAGGTCACACTGTCGATACCTATACAGGTCAACAATGAAGTGGAAGATGATGATTCATGTTCTGGTTAGATATTCTGAATCATACAGCTCTTAAATGCAAAAATGTCTATCATTTTCGAACCGTCATAATTTGAGATTTTATATAATCTGGTCAACATTGATAACGTCGTGCTCCAAAATATAGTCTGAATTCAAAGTAGAATAACTCACGAATGTCCTCACCAATTTGAAATCGGTTTTCACCGATGATTAGCCTAATCTCTTGACAGTTTGTTGTGACAATATGAAACTTCTGTAATCTCAGATAACATTGCTACAGGGTGATAATTGAATGGGTGAAAAAGTGCATCGTGGTCGTCACCTTACCGTTTGAACAGATAATTTTTTAAATTTCTTTCTCTACGACTATCGTATTCTACATTGATTACATATAGGTTAGTAATTGATGAATGAAGATGATTCCAAGACACCGTGGATCCCAACTCATTATTCAACGGCACTCGACCAATCACAGATTCAGAATTTTCAGGATCCACAGCAACTGAAAAAGTTAGACTCTTAGATCATGATCTAAGGTTATACTAATGAAAAACCAGCAAATCTACCGAACAAATTTCTCAAGAAGGCTCTGCTTCATTTTACGGGTCACGTCACGGCTTGACTCGCGAATGTCAGATTGACTTATAGAGTCTTTTAAGTTTCAACTTTGATATCTGGAGGATATAATGGAGGCTTGCCGTTCCATAGAAATGTACTCTATGAATATTGAAGATATTCAAGATCTTGGATCTGCATGGATGATAACTATTCCTGAGACCAAAACAAAAATTGTGTGGAGGTTCACTGTAACCGGAAAATTTTATCAATTTTGTAAAAAGTACATTGATATACGAGCAGCAAATGTGATTTCCAATTTTTTCATGAATTACCAAAAAGGAAAATGTACTCTTTAGAAAATTGGAATTAATAAGTTTGCAGCAATGGGAAAACAAATAGTTACATCGTGGAAGCTACCAAATCCCGAGATGTACACCGGGCATTGCTTTGCTTGTCAATGCAGGTGGAGGTATAACAGCATTGAAAAGACATGGTGGCTGGAAGAGCACATCGGTGGCAGAAGGATTTCTAGAAGATTTCATGTTGAATAAAAAAAAACGGCAGATTCGAATTCTTCAATGAATCGAACAATTTTCATCATCATCAAAAAACAGTTCCTTCACACAAAAAACATCAAGTAGCAATATGAATAAAAATGCCAGTGTTGATTTTAATGCTACACCGACATTAAATTTCACGAATTGTGAGAATATCACTGAAAATTTAGTCACTAAGTACGAGAAACATAATGTACTGACCTAATAATTACTGTGTTGTTTCATCGTTGAGTTCTTTGAATATTGAAGATTCCTGTCAATTGTAAGTATTATAATATCATTAAAATTCATATATCAAGTATATTATTTTGATAAATAATAATTATATTACATTAAATTTCTGACTATCGTATAGTCGTAGAGAAAGTATAGTCTTCTACTCGCGAATAATAGCTATATCATTATACGCTCGTTGAAGAATATACTATTTCCCACTTGTATCCTCTTGATTGATGCTTTCTCTCGAAACTTTTTCGGAATTTTCAAATTCAGAGCTTTGATAATCGTGTTATGAATATGCATTCAGAATGATGCATTTTTCCGACGATCAATTGAATGAAATTGAAAGTTGGGATTCTTCTCCGAAGAATCAACGTTGTATGTATAGTCGTCGGATATGTGATCGTGTTCGAACACAGAAAATTCTGAAAAAGTCTATACAAAGTGATACAAGAAATACTGAATGATGGAATGGAGAATAACGTAGTCTACAGTTGATGAAACATAATTTTCTTTGTGTTACTAGTGTTATAATGGAGTGTTACTTCGTCATGAGGATGTCTGGTGTCTGACCTCGGAATGGTTTTTTAATTTCTTGGATCGAAGGTCATATAATGAAAGTACACATTTTTAATCGAAATGATGCATTTTCGTTAAGATTAATTATAAAATTCCAAAAATTACGATTTCAGTTCCAGAAGTATGAAATTCATATTTATTCTTGACGATGGATATACAAGGTGCGATGAAAAATATGTCCAGATTGTCCCAGGATGAAGAAGGATATGTGATGAAAATCGCTATGTTCCGACATAGATCTGAATACACAAGAAATATAGTGTCGGTTATTGTCGAAATTTGTGAAATGTAAAATACAGTAACTCTTCATGAGGTTTATACGAGGAAATATGAAAGAGACTGCAGAATTGCCATATATTCGATATAATGTTTTTCATACTAATGAAGATGAATTCAGTAAGTCCTCATGAGGCTTATACGAGGTAATATGAACGAGACTTCACATATTGAAATGAACGTCAATCCAATATGCAATTAGAGAGATTACAGAAGTTTCATATTGCCACAATAAACTGTCAAGAGATTAGGCTAATCATCGGTGAAAACCGATTTCAAATTGGTGAGTAAATTCGTGAATTATTCTACTTTGAATTCAGGCACGACGTTATCAATGTTGACCAGTTTATTCAGCATATAATATTTATAACATAACCGTATGGTTATGTTATGTTATGTTTATTTCGTATCCATACTCTCAAATTCACCATATTAGATGTAAAATTTACTTACCTAAGATTCCATATACGTTTATTGAGACTAGAATGAATCCTATCACAAATCGGTTATGGTTCGCCATCTGAAAAAAAAAAATCGATATAGACAAGACTATAGAGGTATCTTGAAAATCACAAGATATGGAGGATTTTTGTTATTCAAGATCGTAACGGCATCTCAAAACTGTAATTTGGGAACTTGAATAGTTATCCATTCGGAAACGGTTATTTCGGTAAATTCAACAAAATCTGATTGTCATATTATATCCACGACAAAATATTTTGTGACCGGAACAAATGTTTTTTATCAGTTTTCAATTCAAAATTAATTTGAAGTAACTCATTAATGATTCAAATTAACAGCAGGAATTGGTTGAATAAACAAAGCTATTTGGTTTCAATAATACAATATCTGCTCTTATGAACGATTCAGTTGATTGAAATGATTGTATCATTTCATTGAAGTGACAAAATGTTCAGTTTCTCGGAGAGTGAATATGTTGAAATAACAATATACAGGGTGTTTCATAATTGAATGCTGATTCTAAAGGGCGATAATCCTTGGATGATTTTGAGAAAAATTCTTCATGTGAACATAGGTCCGTAACAGCTTCGTTTCGTTTGAGATACAGGATGTTGTTTAACAAAAAAATCAGTTATTCCCCAATATCTCTGAAACCGCTCTGGCTTTTTTCTTCATTACAAGAACTTAAAAATAGTTACCATAAACTTATAAAAATATTGCTTAGATCTTTCGGTTACCACAATTGTGAAATTATGACTAACAGTAAAAATCGAATAGGGACAAGCAGATGAATGCATTTTATTTTCTAACTCAAAAACCGTTCGCCAGACGGAAAAAAGACAAGAGACCATTTTTATGAGAAGCTAGAGGATAATTACAAAAATGATATTTATTTGGGAAAAAGACAGTGGCGTATCATTATTTTGATGAAAAATATGACAGGATATGTTAACAGGGACGCCACTGATGGAAATTAAGAAATCCTTCATTGTGTAAAAAATGTATTCCTATTCATACTTGGCATGTATCAAAATTGAAGAAAAAAGCCAGAGCGGTTTCAGAGATATTGGGAATAACTGTTTTTTTTGTTAAATTTCAACATCCTGTATCTCAGAAACGAAGCTGTTAATGACCTATGTTCACATGAAGGATTTTTCTTAAAATCATCCAAGGATTATCGCCCTTCAGGATAAGCATTCAATTATGAAACACCCATATTCTTCGATCAAGCAAATTGTATTTTGAATCGACAAAATATTTCGCTGAATAATATAAAAAAAATCCAATAACTGAATTTCAAAACTAAGAGAAATTAGTGATCAATTTCCTCAGTTGATTTAAGAATATTAGCTTGTATAAGCGTCATAAGAAATCCTAGGACAGTCTAATATAATATATAAATGGATGTTTTTGATATGTATATGTACACCCCAATCGAGGCAAGCGTAGGAAAGTTGGAAGTAACCCCACCTGGTGGCAAAAATGCAATCAGATAATCATTCAACATAATATTTGTTTGATATAATGTTTTTATGGGTTCTGTTCAACAAAGTAATTTGTTTGAAATAACAACATATTTCTTGATAGTAATGTGCTGAATCAACAGAATATAATGTTGTCATAATGAATTCAATTTTGTCGAATAGAAAAAAACCTTTGATTGGTTGCACAATGAAATGATTGTTGACTCAACGAAATATGATGTTGTATTCATTTAAATCTTTGTAAAAATTAATTAAATTTTGTCGAATAGACAAAATGCATATGATTGATTGAACAATGAGATAATAGTTGGATCAACACAATTTGTTTTGTCAACTATAAATGTTGTTGAATGAAATGAAACTTTTGTTCAAGTAAGCAAATATTTCAATCAAATTATTTTGTCTCTTTGACTAGGTTGCTTATTTGGTATGAACATATATTTTGTTGATTTCGCGAAATTGTGTTCAATTTAACAAAAAGAAAATGACCAAAATTATTTTGTTGGTGCAACAAAACCTTTTTTCCGTGTAACTGATGCCTCTTGATACATAGTACATGTACGCTAAATTTCATCAGAATATCTGGAGTGGTATTTTTTTTTTTTTTTTTTTTTTTTTTTTATCGCTTGGAGCGCACGAAAGGGAATCCCTATAATGTATCTCAAAAGTTAGGACCTCGGTTCATATGAAACTTTCTTCTTAGAATGGGCCCAAGAATCGCTTCTCCAAATAAACACAAAACACCCTGTATACGAATGAAAGAATATTCTTGCAATGGACGATAATACACACACTGGCACAATTAGGGGAACAGGTAAAATTTACACTAAGTTTGACATCAATTTTCTCTCGAACCGATCACTCAATTCAAATTTGTTTTTCACGAATTGTAGCTTCATTCTTCACGAATACATCTGAGAAATTACCACCTCCAAACGATTCGTCTTTATATCATATACAGGGGTGTAAAGAAAGTACGGATTTTTCGGTATTCTTTAAGACATCCTGTGGAGTGAACCACTGATAATTGAAACGATTTTCCAACACCAAATTATAGCCCAATCTATCCCGAATATTCTCGTTTTTTATTCATCTTGATATCCCAATTTTCCAAGAAAATATAGAGTTTAAAAGAAGACAAATCATGAAAATCATCCATTTTCTCAAAGTGGTCCACAGTCGAGGAAGAGTTGGATATTGGTATTAATTCTACCACCTCGAAACTCGAACTGAGGAGAACGTGTCGTTTTTTAACTTGTTTCTGTGAGGATTTTTACTTCAAGATTGTTCACAGTTTTACCTATCGGTTTACTGTTGAGAGACACATATACGAATACTCTCATGAATATGCAGGGGTGATAAAAGTTGCTCCAATGTTCTTTTGGTGAAATGCTATTTTTGTTAATCAACGTTGGCTATTTTGTTAATGTCATTAATTATTGTCAAAGTCAAGCGATTCACAATTCATAAATTTGATTAATGAAAATTCAACGTGAGAGATTTGACTACAACTGATGTGGCGAGGGCTGTAGCATTAATTGAAAATGACCAGTGGGCCAATGTTCTTTCAACATATGAGAGCCGCATCTGCACTAATTCAATAGATGGCAGGGAAAGACTATATCGCCGAGGTGAACAAAATGAACAATTTGATTTTACTGCTTTTGTCTCCTATGGCAGAGGTTTAGTCATGGTTAGGTTAAGTTAGTCAAGAAACGACACATTTTCAGATCCAATTTGAGTTTTGAGGTGTAAAATTGATACCAATATCCACCTTTCCTTTGAAACTCTGTAATTTCTTGAATAATTGAGATATCAAGATGAATAAAAAACTAAAATATTCGGAATAGATTGGGCTCCAATTTGGTGTTGAGAAATCGTTCCAATTATCAGTGGTTCAGTCCACAGGATAGCTAAAAAAATACCGAAAAATCCGTACTTTCTTTACACCCCTGTATATGATGAAAAGACTCATCGTTTGAAGGTAATTATTTCTCGGATGTATTCGTGAAGAATAAAGCTACATTTCGTGAAGAAAAAAAATTTGAATCGAGCGATCGGTTTGAAAGAAAATTGATGTCAAACTTAGTGTAAATTTTGCCCGTTCCCCTAATTGTGCCAGTGTGTTTATTATCTTTATTAACAACGTTCGCGATGATAATCAGGGATAGAAGCTTGAATCCGTTTATAGCCCCCAGTAATTTAGTTATGAAAAAAATCGACCTGTAAGTAAAAATAATCAAGATCGTTATCCTATCCGCAACACCGTTTTATGAACAATTAAGTATTATTGCCTCGTATGCAGAAATAAATCTCTGTTTGATCGGTAATGGCCAACATCCTGCTGGTTTTATCTCTTTTTCTGATGTAGCGCCTAATGATACAGAAGACCTCGTATCATTCTGTGCCTATAAATGGCAGACAAGCATCAGTATACGAGATACCCAATGATAATCATTGTCTTCGAGATGATATAGCGCGAAATTGTTGGCGATAAGATTTCGAATTGGATTTTAAAAGACAAGGCATAGATGCAATTATTTATTGGCTATTTCGAGTAAATATTCGTTAGTGCTAAATGAATATTTTAGTAGGTACGCTTCTCCAAGAAATTGATGTACTACCAAACAGTAGCCAAAAGTTTTTCATTTCGAATGAATTTTCGTTCCGAAATTAGCTCTTGAAGTTGACGTTTCTCTTACTGACACAATGAAATAATTAATGCATGTTGCTAGGCAACACTTTTAGTGTCTAGGAGCTGAAGTTGAAGTTTAACTCCTAGGAACTGAAAGTGTGTCGGATGACAGCTGATATGATTGCTGCTTTGACACTGATATGCTCAAGTGAGCCAAAAACGACGAAAATGTATCTCAAACTTTCGGATACTTTTTGGTGCGTTAATTTACAAAATATAGAAAGAAATGAAGCCACATAAAGTTTTCACTATCTACTAGTCCTTCCAACCAGACAACAAACATTTAACAAGTTTCGCCTATTTGAATCATTTACCTAAATTGGAAACAATGTAAACAACTGTTTGACAAAGTCGCCGCCGAATGAGACTCAAGTTTCAGTTAATTGAAGTTTCTCACAGTGTCCATTCAAGAGAGTGTGCATTTAAGGAAGTGTGAAGTACCAGGATACTTCTATAGAAATATTTGAACAACATTCTAGACTGGAGAACCACTATCCTCTCTTCAAGATGAAAATTTCATCAAATTACTCCATTACCAATTTAACATGCCTCTATAGCTCATCGCAATATATAATGCTGTAATCATAGGCGAATTACTGGTAATAACACATAATCTGGCACCTAGAGACTAGAAACCGTATACGTGGATACTGAAGTTCACAAAGTGTATTGTGTATCGATTCAACGATTTATATTACTTTAGTTAGCCTCTTCGAATCAGATATAGAACAACAATTCTCTGTTTCTCATACTTGGGCAATAAATATTGAAAATCATCGATATCAGGAAACAAGTTTGAATTGGAAATTTTCATCCTGTATTTCATTTAGAGGCGAATTTTCGAAAACGTCTCGAGTTGATGGTCTAATATAAATAATG